ATATATATATGATAGTTCTGAAAACAAAACCAGTCCTCTTAGAGTCACATTCTTAAAAGAATAATAATAAAATAATTTAACACCTTAACAACATGAGCAGTTGATCAGCACCTTACTAAGCTCACATTTTGGAAATGCATATATGTACAAGTATCATATACATTATACCATATAAACAGCATTATAAAAGGTTCAGTTCGTCCTATATTTAAAATAGTCATCCAACGTATAAAATGAATGGGAATACAAGAAGTTTTTCAATTCCAGTTCAAATTGTTTTGTATTATGGGACCGATTTTTATTGCAACAGGTAAGCAGGTATTGCAGCACCTTAATCCCAGCATAATAAATTCCCTTCTGAAAGACTGACAGATGAGTCAAAGGGTGATGCAAGTCAGATTTGGTCCTAGTATTACTACTTTGAATCTCAGAATTCACTTTGAAATGATGTCTGTTGTTGATCACAAACAGTGAATGTATTGAGATTTTAGTGGTAGTATTTTTAATTCCCTAAAATATTTTCTGCATGACTCTATCTCTAATCCCCATAATAATTCTAATAGCTTTCTTTTGTAACCTAAAAATTATGTTGCCATGGCAAGAATTGCCCCAAAATATTAGTCCATAACTCATAATCGAGTGCAAGTAAGTACAATACACCATCTTCAATGATTCATGATAACTTCACACAAAATTCATTAGATACTGCATCTATATGAATATAAGATGTCCCCCCTTAAAATTTTAGTTTTCAGGAAGAAACATACTTTTATTAACATTACAACTGGCAAAATTTTCCATTTCACTAAGGTTTTATGTCTCTCTAGGGTTCTTGTTTCAGCCCTTTAAATTTTTTCTGTGAACCTGGCACCCATGTTCTCTCTGTTTCCTCTTGTGTCAAGACATCTGCTTGGGTAACACTGAATTTTCATGTTGCCATGCACATGGATAGTTTCTTCTTTATGCTTCACAGGTGCACATTTTTTGACATCTGTTACACTGCAGAAGCTCTCTCTTCAACATGACCACCCATGATTAACACCACAGTATTCTACTTTTCTGCTCTCACACATATACATGTGGCCACTATACATGCATGCATTAAAGACTTTTTCTTCAGACTGCTGCTGACACTGACAGTCTACCAGTAAATATACTTCCTTGACCTCAAATTGAGCGAAAATACTACAAAACACTTGCAATGCCCACCCTAAAAACATTACCCACAGAGTACTGTTGGGAACATAAAAATGAATGTGCAAATATAAAATGAGACTTATTTTTTGGATGCCCAACAATTATAAAGACAACTATTCAGATTATTCAGATAAACGTGGTGTTTGAATTATACATTCTTTATAATTATACATTCTACATAAAAATACTTTTCCCTTTCACTGCCATGTATAACTCATAGTTCAATGTATGTTTGTTACTGTATACTGACATACAACTTCAAGAATATTTTGAAATATTTTAGTTGAAAATGGGCCATTTTAAATGCATATTGTTGCATGTTACTGACTAGACATGAGATGTTGACTGATAACTGGATTCCCCGAATGCTTATGACTCATAACTAAAAATAACTATAGCTCTATCACTAATCTACACACTCTACAAATCACTACAGCACACACTAAGCCTTCTCAGTCTCTTCACTAGCCACCACTAGGCAGCAACTGTTAACAGTGAAGACTCCTCTGATTCTGTGCTCATGACTGAGCACCAACTGTGACTGATGACTCACTCAAAACTGCTAACCGCTGAATGCTGACTGACTTGCCTATGGTCCTCGTTATATAGCATCAGCACTGACAGCATGGAAAACACCACTTCCACATCGTTCTTCTGCTGTGGCGTGCATATCAATTACCATGCAAGGAAGTTTACCAAGCTGTTGCCCAGAAATACTGCCTTTCAGGCATCATGTCACAGTATATTTTAAGGCATACATTGGCACAGTAAAATAAATAAACTGAAAGGGAAATGAAGTGCAAAAATACAACTCATTCAACAGCTGCACTGTCATCTGTTACTTGTATCACAAACACATTTCATCAGCTTCAGCACTGGGTTGCAATGGTAATTTCACTCTTACATGAAAGATTGAAAAATGGTATGAAAAGCAAATGTCACAAACATTTTGGCCATCAAGGATCTCTATCTCTAGCATAACTATTTTTATTTTTCTCCCTGTATCTCTCCATTTCTACCATTTCTGTTCATCTGTCTTCACCTGTGTGCCCTTCCATCCTTTCATCTATATGTCTGTGTATAACACTTACTTGTAAGGCCTTTCTTGGGTATGAGTTCTCACATGTTTCTTCAGATCACTGAGAGTTGTAAAGAACTTCACACAGCCTTGTGTTTCACAATTAAAGGTGTTGCCATTGTGCAGTCGCTGATGTGCTCGTAACCTAAAACATTTTGCAGACTCCAATACTATTACTTTCCTAGCTGAGCTCAATTTTCAAAACAGAAAAAAGTTTACACAAAGACCCTGCATGTGTTCCTTTCTAGTAACGTCTGAACTACTGATGAAGATTCATGAAACTTACCATGAGGATCATACCACTGTACATCATCTCAGTAATGAGAAACTTATTTGTTCTTTATACTTCTACTGAAGAATTAACATATGGTTAATACATTTCCAAAAATAGCTATTTTAGGGTGGATATGTAACGAAGTAAAAACCAAGCTGATTAACACAAGAGCCTTCATAATATCCTCCTTGCAAAGTCAGTGTTTACTTACAAGATGCTGCAATCTGTGAATATCTATAATGTTGTATTTTAGCGTCCTGTTGCACTGATTTTCTTCCATGATATGTATACAGTTGCCGTCTTGTAGTGCACTCAGTTTCACCTGTTACTTCACGATATGTTTCGGCAACATAGTGCCATCATCAGGTGCCCTAATTACGCTAATCTATTTCATTGCTTGCCTTTATAAAATTACAACACTCGCAGCTAAGAAGGGAACACACACCGCAAGACACGGTTTACACAGAATATAAGAAAAACGACCCCCATAGTGGAAGAACCACACGCAAGTTTTAATTATGACACATAAGATGAATAATCTTAACAAGTTTTAGTGTGTGTAAATTTATTATAGTTGATGAATACACACTTTTTAAATACTTTTTAAATAATTTTATAAAGGCAAGCAATGAAATAGATTAGCGTAATTAGGGCACCTGATGATGGCACTATGTTGCCGAAACATATCGTGAAGTAACAGGTGAAACTGAGTGCACTACAAGACGGCAACTGTATACATATCACTGTGAATATCTGTTGGATTCAACTACACAGCATCCAACCAAAAGGCAAAGCACAATCACCATTGGACACAAAAACAGAATACAAAAATCTATGTAAACTTATATTGACAAAAATTAGGCCCCTACTTTTCTTAACTATGAGAAATAAGGATTTTTTATGGGAATGATTTATAATAAGAATAAGGTGGATAACAGTAGTCAGCGGACTTCACTTGCTATTTATCATCAAAATATAAGAAGCATTAGAAATAAGAAAGAAGAACTAGACATTTTTCTAAATGATGTATGTAATTATCCTGATATTTTATGTACTAGTGAGCACCATTTGAGTGTAAGCGAGTTATCCATATTTTCTATGACAAAATATAAAATGGCAGCAGGATTTTCACGTAACATGTGTAAGAACGGTGGAGTTTATATTTTAATTAAAGACGATATATCAAGAGCTAGATCTCAAAAATGTAAGTATGGAAAGGGTTTTTGAAGTCTGTGCGGTAAAGATAACTATAAATAATAGGAAATTATGTATTTTATATATTTATAGAGCGCCTGATGGAGATACATGTCAATTTATTGAGCAGCTAGATTCTACACTTTCGTATTTAATAAGCCCTAAAGTGGAACCAATAATCTGTGGTGATACAAATATAAATTACCTTAGTGAAAACTGTAAAAAAGTGCAATTACAAGCTTTATTAGATACTTATAATTTAACACAAATAATTGAGTTTCCAACTAGAATAAGTACTACTTCTGTCTCATTGATAAATCATTTTTTTTATAGACAAGAATGCTTATAACAAATTCCAAGTTTGTTCTGCTATAAATGGTCTCTCGGACCACGATGGGCAAATGTTTATACTTGGAGACATGCTGGTGATGAGACAAAGTGATCATGTAAGAGCATATAGACACATTAATGAGGAAAACATAGTATGTTTTCAACAGGCTTTACAAAATGAAAATTGGATAGAAGTTTATAACCAAGAGAATGTTAATATGAAATTTAATATCTTTCACAATATCTTTTATCAATTTTAGAAAATAGCTTTCCCATAGTATATATAAAAAAAAGACTCTAATAAATGGATAACAAAAGGCATAAGAGAGCATTATACACCTTAGTAAAAAAATCAAGTGATGATAGTTTGAAGTTATACTATAAAAGATACTGTAAGATACAAAGTATCAGGCATTGATCTTGATGAAATCCAAGTAAGGTCTAAGATTGTGTTGAATTCTTTAAGCCATTGGTTTGCATGTAATGGCCTGTCTCTAAATTTGAAAAAACTAAAGTGTTAAAATTTGATGCAATTAATCGAGATAATATGTCTATACATTTAAAGTTTAATGATGAGATATTGCATGAGGACACCCACATTAAATTCTTGGGCACTGAAATTGATAAGACCCTGAATTGGAAGTCACAGACTGAATCGATGCTGTCTAGATTGGGCAAGGCATGCTTCGCAATAAGAAACATGAAATTGTATAGCAATATTGAAACACTAAGGATGATTTACCACACATACTTTCATTCAATTATGAGATATGGGATAGTATTTTGGGGAAACTTGCTGGAGGCTAAGAAGATTTTTCTTTTACAAAAGAAGGCTGTCAGGATAATGATGGGAATGAAACCCAGAGAATCATGTAGAACAATTTTTAAAAAATTAAAAATTCTGACATTGGCCTCTCAATATATCTTATCTTTAATGATACTAATGATAAACAATTTGGGGCATTATACTCTTAATCATACAATTCATGGTAAGTCAACAAGACAAGTTAGAAACCTACATGTTCCTCAATTACATCTAACAAAGAGGCAAAAAGGGGTCTATTGCATGAGTGTAAAAGTCTTTAATAGTTCGCCCGATTTTTTAATTGAGTTAGTACATAATAAAAAAACAGTTTATTGGGAAACTAAAGGATGTATTGCTTCAAAACCCTTCTTATACTGTTGAGGAATTCTTGCTTTTCTGTCAAGACCTACAGCTAAGGAAAAGATGTGTCTGACAGTGCACACTTCACTAAACACTATGTCCTTGGCTGTGCTTATATATACTTGCTGCAATTTGTATTGCCTTTTAACTATTGTATGTGTTTTTGACAAGTATGGATTATATATGCTAGTGATTTTATTTGTGAATGTATAAGTGTCCAATGTTTTGTTTGCTTGTTGACATGTTTTATATTCGGTGCCAGTGACACATTTATGAATATTTTAAAGAAACGCAAATGTATATGTATGTACGTATCAGTACAGGAGGATTACCAATCAAAAGATAAATGCAATGAAATAGCATAATGATATGTGGAAAGGAGTGGGTCACAAATGTTTAGTGTCTAGTTGCTGTCCCAGAAATTTCCTAAAGCTATGAGGGAAAAGTAAATTAACTACAGGCAAGTGACCTAAAAGTTGATAACAATATTAACATTCTGACTGCAGCATGCCCACGTCCTTCTTGAGAAGCTGCCAGCCACTCAGGTACTGAAGAACTTCCCAACATTTTATGGAACCTGTTACTGTGTTAGTGTGTTCACAAAAGCCTACAACAGGTCACCATCCTGTTCCAGTATAATCCAGCCCATGCTGCCCTATCCAAATTCACTAAGATCCTTTTTACTTCTATGTTTAAACATAATCATAACAGACTATAATAAAATTATCCATAATTCAAATCTTATCTCATTCTGAGTCTCTACATGCTCAGAAGTTCTTGCAAAGAATTTCAGCAAGGGTCTTGAAAGTTATTTGCTACTGGGAAGGTTACAGACTTACATTCATGGTGTGATGGCCACCTATCTCGGAGTGGTGATAAAAGGGTTTGGGGGAAAATAGAAATCAACATAGCAACAATATAATATGGGATTCGCACATATATGGTAAATACCACATTTAATGTTCCTCAATTTAAGGATCAATTTCATTGATCCCAAATTAATTAACTCAGTCTTAAATTACCTCCATTTATGATTTCCCTCAGTTTAGTGTTCAAATCCACTGGCCTCCAAAGAAACATTAGAGATTTCCCTGTATTAAGAGATTTGAGAATGAAACTATTAAAATGAGCAAGGTACACAAAAACTAAAGGGGCAAAAGTAGAACGCCAAAGAGACCAATGGATATGGACCAAAACCAAGACAGGCAACAATTGGAAAACAATAAACCTCAATTGTTACACTTAGTCACAAAAGTTCAGAAGCAAAGAGGAAAGCTGGAAACAAAAATGATTGTTGGCATCTTTCACTAATGGAAATGATGTCAGAGAAAGAGAAAAACTGGGGAAAACCATAGATACTAAAGCTGATCTGCAACTATGAATTGAAGCACTTCTCTCAAATACAATCAAACAGAGATTAATAATTCAAGCACCTGGGCAATTCTTACCTGTAAAGTGTATTGAAAGCCTTTTCACATCCTTCATGGTGACACTCAAATGGTTTCACTTTTGTATGGACTCGAATATGTATTTTTAAACTGTATGATGTAAGAAACGCTTTTCCACAACCAGGTTCAGAACATTTAAACCTGAACTCACCTGTAAGCATACACACATGGATACAGTGTACAATATGTTTTACTTAATAAACGGAATTACTACAGAGTGATTGAATAAGAACCCTGAAAGAACAATCATCAAAAATCAATGTTACATAAAGTAATAATAATATAAGATACTGGACAGACTTCAAGTCCCTGATGTTACCTGAAAGAATAGGAGAAAATACCAATTCTACCATATGGAAAAACACAAGAGATATAAAACTACAAGTGTGTATTTTAACATCAAATATACGTCTACGACATTCAACAATAATAGAAGAGCTGAAAGGATACCATAGTAAACATAAACATAACCTAAATGACATAACTCTAGGACAGCCGTGTCAAACATGCGGCCCCTCAACTTTTAGAGTTAATTGATATTAAAATCAATATTAAAATTTTAGTAGAAATATTTTTTGTAAAGACAATTTTCCAACAGACCAGAAGACAAGAAGTCTCACGCAGACATAAATTAGCAGGCTGCAGGAAAAGTGATTCTGAGAATTGCAGAAGGGTTTGTCCAACTAACGGTTTGTAAAGTTCGTGAAGGACAAACTACTGTATTTCAGAAGGTTAATGCACTAAAATCCGCACAGCCTCACCACCTCAAGTATTTCCAAGAATCCCTTTTGGAGGCACAGTAAGAATGCAAGGAGGGTGGCAGCTGACAGACAAGTGCAAGGGATTTCTACCTTCAAAACTAGCTTGCAACCCCCAGTCATTGTCTAATGGGTTGCTAACAAACTTTCACTTTTATGACCATTGGGACATGATACACCTTCCTACTAGTCTGGTAGTCTCTTGTACATTGTCAATCAGTTCATTTTCACAGAGCAACAGGTGCTGATGTTACATTGTGATGAACATATAAAGGTTATAATTAAACATTAAATTATCAACTACAAGTTTTCTTGTATATGTACAGTAACTTTTAAAAGGCAATGTCACTTTCAAAAAATTCAAGTAGCAAAGAAAGAACTACTGAAATTGAGCGCCATCTTTTTCAAGAAAAATGGGAAATCGCTTATTTCTGTTGTGAAATAGAAGGTAAAATTACATGTTTGATTTGTGGGCAAAAGATAAGTGTTCCACTTTAGGTAACTATATTGAATTTATTCCTAAATAATAAATGGAATTAAATTTCCTTGTATCAAAATCTAATGTATATTTTTATTTTGAAGTGTGGCCCTTGACTATTATTTATAGGGCTGAGGTGGCCCTCTATACAAGCTGAGTCTGACATGCCTGCTCTAGGCTTTAGGCATTATGTCAATCTATGACTGTATAAACAGTGTGACAGCACAATCTTTATTTGAAAAATTTAATTGTGGGAACAAATCGGACATGTATTAAGACTTATGCATATATACATACCTTTGTGTGTCTTCATGTGTGTCCGTAAATTTCCCACTGTGCTGTAAGTACGACTGCAACCATCATATTCACATCTGTACCTTTTAATTTCTTTCATGTTTGTGGCTGGATCTGTTGCTTCAATTGTGATTGTAGCATGAGAAGGATTTTCTGGCATAGATCCTGATTTACCAGGGTTGATATGCATATAAATCTGATCTGAACTAATTGTATGATGGATATACCTGTAACAGCAGGAATAGAGGGACATAAGTTCAATCATAAATTTCTTTTCGTTGTTAGAAGTAAATGGATCATATTTTCAAATGCAGAGCTCATGTTTTCATCAGTCTTGTCACACACTTCATTACACCCAGCTTTCCAACGAAATCATATACGCTCATTACTCGGAACATATATGTTCAAGAATCCCTAACTATCGCGAGATACAAAAAAATATATATATTAAGGCTAAGAACGTGGAAATGGCTTTTATTGGCATATGTAGAGAATTAACCTTTACGAAAGGGGCGTACCCTCATTACAGATCCATCCGTACTTTAATAAAAGAAGACTTAAAACATTTATGGTCGGACCTTTCGAAACACAACAGAATAACCTTTTCCTTAACATAAGGGAGAGATTACTGTGTCACTTTCTAAATCTTTACCCTGCATTTTCATCGTGGCCTTCCAGTTTTCCAATGTAACTGGATGATTCCGGACTGTTCTCATCACACAGCCTAGAAGTTGTATACACTGGCAGTTGTTCAAATACTCTTCCGAAAGTAGGAATATCAAAAGCATCTTCCATACATTCTTGCAGTATATTATCAAGGGACGTGTCATTATGTCCTTCTTCGTTTCCCAGCTGAAATTTTTCTTCGGACCATGTCGCCATATTTCTTACGATTGTATCGAGTGCGATCGAGGGAATACGGAAAGAGATATCGATATTGAATTTCGATGTATATAGTCAACATCGATCAACAAAATTTAGCACATACCAAAACTTTTCTAAAATTTGCAGGAGAACATTGAAGTATTCATCTTATAACTCGTTAAATGGAACCGAAGTAAACTATAATCAAATACATATAAGTTCTATAACTTTTTTTAATGATACTAGTCAAAATTTTATATATTTTCGCCTGAAAGAGGTATCGAAATAATAACATAATCACATGATCACATGAGCAAATGTGGTCTTAATTCGTTCTGGTCGTTCTAATTGCAGAAGCCTGTTAGCGATCCGTACTGACTAGTGATCTGGTACCCTAGCTACCTTGCTGCGGAGCTGTAGGTCATATTAATCATATTAATCCTTGTTATGGATCACACGCCTTTCCTCAAGAGCTTACGTTCCTTCATCGCTCAGTACATAGAAATCATTTACATTGCACACTCTATGATGGACACCGTGCTTCATTTTCTTTACTGTATACCATAGCTATTTTTCTCCTCATGCGGATTGCCTATTTTAGCATGGCGTAAGTTGCTTTGAAGATGATCTGTATTTTATTCCTCTTCCAACCGTGTGATTACAATACATTGTGTAGAATATTGCAATCAGGAGGCATTATTTTGGATACTGATTTACATTTAATAATGCCTTTGTATAACATTCTGGCATCTGGTGGTGATCACATTCTCGCTATTGAATTCATACCAGTGCATCAACTTAACTCATGTCAGTTGTTACCGGTAGTATTTTTTTATTGCCAGTGGGGTGGGACTAAGTCCCTTGTACTGCGGTCACTTCTGGCCTATTGTACCAGCCCCAGATGATATGTGAGGGTGATTGTGGAGCAATTGGTGGAATGAAGATTGGCAGGGAAAACCGAAGTACTCGGCGAAAACCTGCCCTAGTGCACTTTGTCCACCACAAATCCCACTTGACCAGACCCGGGATCGAACCCGGGCCGCCGCGTTGGGAAGCCAGCTTGAGATATGGTGCGGCCCAAACCGGTAGTTACGTAGTGATTTGTAGGCTACAATGTTTATGATCCATGATCGTCGAGTATCGGTGTAGCGTTTAGTAATCCGTGGTGTAGTTGGTTTGTGCCGTTATAAAGCTCTTTCCGGTTAGTGTTTCAGCATGGTAGGTGATGAGTTTCGAAGTTTTGTTATCTAATGTCATCGTTGAGGACCTAACGATTAGAAATGTTTTTTATATCAATTCTGAAACGTCTGCTGTTAGTGTGTGTGTGTGTGTGTGTTTTGGTGTTTGAGTAAGAGTATTGGTATGTGAAATGTATGCAAATATAACGAATTGACATGGGTTGCCCTACGTGTGATGGTATATGTACATTTTTTTCATTCACAGTGTTGTGGTGCAGCAGAATATCTGGATAAATTGGGGACAGAATTTTATGTTAATTCTGTTAACTTTTTTTTTTTTAATTTTTAGACACTAAAGGTGTACTGAACGCTCGGATTTCCTTAAGACTGTTATATTTAAGCATAGTTCCACATTTGTATTTTATAGGCTCGTGGCCCGAAGAAACACTTGAAGCGACTGAACGCACCAAAGGCATGGATGTTGGACAAGCTTGGTGGTGTTTATGCACCTCGACCAAGTACAGGGCCCCACAAACTAAGGGAGTCTCTTCCTCTTGTAATTTTCCTTCGCAACAGACTCAAGTATGCCCTTACCAACTGTGAAGTTAAGAAAATCGTTATGCAGCGTCTTATTAAAGTTGATGGGAAAGTTCGTACTGATCCAAACTATCCAGCTGGCTTTATGGGTATGTATTCAAGAAAATGTTGTTGCTCTTGCCACGTAAACTATGCGTTTGATGAATATGATTAATTTTTAATGCAATGAACTCAAATTATATGTAAGTATGTAAACAAACTATGCTTTTTGGAGACCCCTTTAACCATTAGTTTACGGAGTTCTATGTGCTGTGTGTAACATCTTGCATAGTTTCGTTTTCAGCCCTGTAACTCTGAATTTTTATAATGTAAATTTTCAATATTTAAAACAAGTCGCGATTATTGTAATTCAAATTAATGCTATAATGCATTTGCATCATTGCCAGGATTTTGACCCATTAAAGCAAAAAAAAAAGCCTCGTCAGTTACACTATTATGGTTCAAACTGCTTGGCGCCTTTTAACGAAAATTTTAGCACAAAGTGATCTTGGTCTGCTACCTGAGCACGCACAAGAAAGAAAAATTGGGTAGTTTGTAGGAATTGCGCTGTCTTGTCTAGCGCTAAAATTGAGATCTAAATTCAAATTGCTGGCAGTTGTAGAAGTTCACCTCTTTAGCTTGTCATATCTAGGATCTACACAAAATCAGGATATGCAGTGGTATATTATGGCCATCATGTTATCATTGCACCATGGCCAGGTAATGACCAAATTCTGGCAGAACTGATTCAAGCAGGAGGTGAAACCTTACGTTTCATGATCCATGAACATGTTAATTTTATTTTGGATAAGGAATAAGTGCCTGAGTAGTGGAATAAGCCTATTATTGTACAAACTTATAAGAAGGGCTGTAAAAGTGGCTAGTAATTATTGAGGCCTATGACTGCTTCCAACTTCATATAAAATTTAATCCAGTATTCTCTCAAGGTTAAGCCCATACTTAGATGAAATTATTGTGGGGGTCGTTATTGTGAGTTTTGACGTTATCGATCTTTGAACTCTTCAGGTGCCATAGAAAAAAAATAGGAGTAGAGTTAAACTGTACAGTTTATAGGCTTCAAAAAAGCCTGTGGTTCAGTTAGGGAAGCATTATATATTTTCACTGAGTTTGAGGTACTCGTGGAACTAGTTATACTTATTAAGGTGCGTTTAAATGAAACATATAGTAAGGTAGTAGTATAATAAACATTTGTCTGATATGTTTCTTATTCAGAATGGCCCATAAGAAGAATATCATTTCTTACTACTGCTTTTCACCTTTGCTTTATCATACTCCATTAGGAAGGACAAGGAAAATGATGTGGGACTGAAATTAAATGGGATGCATCAGCTTCTGGTCTATGCTGATGATGTAAATCTATTATGAAATAATGTATATATCGTAAAAAAAACACAGAAGCTGTCATCGATGCCAATAAGGAGGTTCATTGAGAAGGAAACAGAGAAGATGAAGTATATGTTAATGTCTGTTACTACAATGCAGGGCAAAGTTTTAATACAAAGACAGCTAATAGATGCCTTGAAAATGTGGTGAAACTCATATATTTGTGGATGAGTAACAAATCAGAATGTGATTCATGAGGAAATTAAGAGCAGATTAAATTTTGGTAGTGTTTGCTACAGTTCAGTTCAAAGTTATCTTCTCATCTGCTTTCTAGAAATGATAACATTGGAATATATAAAACTATCATTTTGGCTGTATAGGTGCCTCAGACACTAAGGGGAGAACTTGAAGGGATTTGGTGCTGTAGAGAATATTTGGACTGAAGATGGATGAAATAATAGGAGGCCAGGAAAAATACATAGTAATGAGCTTCAGAACTTATACTCAACCAAATATAATTAGAATGGTCAGGTCAAGGAGGATGAATTGGGCAGAAGATGTAGCATGCATGGGAGAGAAAAGTAATGTTTACAGGGTGATTTGGACTTTATCCATCGTCCTGGTTTTTAAGATAAATAAAAACACGACGATGGATAAAGTCCAAAATCCCAACATATCAGTGTGTTATACACCATCATCAGAATCCTATAGTAACTAATGTTTACAGGGTTTTGGTTTAAAAGCCAGAAGGAGAAAGACCACTAGGAAGACTGAGATGTAGGTGGGAGGTAACAAGGTGGATCATTGGGACATAATGTGGGTTGGTATTGACAAAATGAATCTGGCTTAGGACGGGGAACATTTTAGGGATGGATTGCATTGGTATGTATAGGATAAAATTGGCTTAGGATGGGGAACAGTGGGGGGCTGTTGTGAATGGTGTAATACAGATTCTGATAATGTGCCTTATCCTTGGCCCTAATGAAAGGCCAGAGGATTTCTTCACGAGTCTGGTTTTTGGCTACTGAAGGCAATGTTCTTACTGTCATGCATGTTATTCCACACACTTTCAGAGGCGAATTTTTTAGGAATCAAGCAGTCTCTGTTGGCCATAGCTGTTTATGTTACAGGCTAATATCATCTGTTGATATATCCACTATATTAAAACCCTTGACATTTAGTTACTATAGTGATTGAGACTAGCTCTTTCTAAGGGACCCAACAGAATAGGTGTTTTCCCTCATCTGAGGACGGAAACAGATCCAGTTTCCGAAACATCGTGTTTTTCTTAGTTATCTTAAAATCAGGACGATGGATAAAGTCCGAAAACCCAGTATCTCCCTTGACATTTGTTTCTTATGAGTGATCGTTTTGTCTCTTATAAATGTATGTATGAGAAGGTATTACGATTCTGAAAAAAAAGGTCAGTCTTGAGATTTAAATGGGTTTACACATTTTGAGCCCCATGAATAGCAAGAAAGTGATTTTTTCCAGTGTTGTGTATGGATGTGAAGCTTCTGGCACCTGAACCGTTGGACAAAATATATTCATATTTGATAAGTTATTTTGTTGAAAATGGCTTCTGCAATTTTGATTAAATTTAGGTAGTTCTTGGCAATCCTCTCCCAAAATGAAACTGTGTGGGCAGTATATTCGGGAAAGTAGCAGTACAAGTTATGAACGTAAACATGAAATATCAATTTTGTCAAAACCAAATTTACCATTTGGAAGGGTTTCAGTAGTGTACCAAGAAATAGTTGTTTTCCCTACAAGGTATTGTAATGTAGGTTAGTTGTATATGATTAAGTGTGCAGTGTGTGTACACTGATTTCCTCATGTTCCAGTCATGTTATTTTCCACTTGGTCTCTCTGCCTAGTCTGGATATTCCCTAGTGGTTTTATATTCAATAATGTTTCGATTAACAAAATAATTCCATTGTTTCTATTGTCGATAAGCCAAAAATTTAATTAAGTATTGGAAGATGGGACATATTTACCAAATGAATCCAGACTAGGGTGGCCAGTATTGTAACTGGGGTGATGCATGGTAAAGATTAATTGGCTAATATTTAAATATTCCAGTGTATATAAATATCATGAGTTAGTATAAAAAATTGTCTTGTGAAGAACATTACACAGTGATGTAAAAAAATTTGTTAATTTCATGTCTGATTGATATTATTTTGTTATGATTTTGCAGATGTTGTGACAATTGAGAAAACTGGAGAATATTTCAGGTTGATATATGATGTCAAGGGACGGTTTACCATTCACAGAATCACAGCTGAAGAAGCAAAGGTAAATTATGATTGTGCTCTTTTTAGGTTAAAGGAGTACACAAGAGCCATTGCAAATGAAATTTCAAATAACTTGTTCCCCAGCCAACAGAAATATTGGAAAGTGTTCCACATATTTCTTCAGACTTAACTCTGAAGCAGAGAAGTAAAAGGCTTAGCAGGATGCCATCCACAAGTGTCAAGTTTACTTCAACAAAGGGAGTAGGAGAAGGCAGTGTTACTTAATATTACCTGACTTGATTAAACATTTTGCTCCACTTATTTATTACTTTGGTGTACTATTTCCATTACCATATGTATGTTTTATTATGTACTGAATTCTGGTTGGTCTAGTGGATGATTTAAATGGCATTAGGCTACTAAATGTATGAAGGTAGTGACAGTTTTAAGTTAATGTTTCCCCATGTGATTTAGTTTGAGTGTTTATGGTTACAAGGAAATGTTAATTTGTGCACCATTTTTTATCAAGCATTCCACTCCCCGTGTTCCATACATGTAGCACAAAACCTCATTGGGAAAAACATTAGAAAATGCGAAGGGTTACTATATCAAATCTTACTTCTTTGCTGTTAATTTTGCTGGAGTGGCCAAAAACGAAACTGAAGCTTAATCTAGCTCTGGAACTGAGGCATCTACACACAGATGAACATACCTGCTGGAATTTTCTTAAACCTGGGGGGGGGGGCAGCCAGCATGTAAGGCTGGCAATCTCACCATCAGCTGTTGATTGTCTAGAACAGTGGTTCTCAACCTTTGTCATACCATGACCCGGTAAATTCTTTTCTATAAGACGACCTGGTATAATTGATGTCAGGTCCTGGTACCAGGCCACAGCCTGGCAGATGAGAAACACCAGTCTAGAAAATGTGGAGACCTCAAGTCTCACAATCCTGTGGGCCTTCATGGTCTGTTAAAGGGATAGCTTCACCTTTTTCTTTCCCTGCCATCTTCTTTTTTCTTCAGATAATTAATACCAGTTGAATACTCTTAAGAGGCCCTCGCTATATTTAAAATGGCCACTACACTATCCTCTCCAAATGTCATTTAAATTGCTGTTTAGCCACTTGTTTGCATGCTGTTCACAATTTGTGTTAACTGTCCAACAGAATTGAATAAAATTTTTGTGGAAAATTAATAATGATAGTTGCCCTGTTTCCTTTTAACTGTTCTGAAACACACTTAGAATTGAACGAAGAAGCCGTATTTGTTGACCAATGGGCATAAGATTGCTGATTGTAAAAAAAAAAGTGTTAAGTGACATACGCAGAGGTTTGTAAGTATGTTTTGTCCTTTTTCACCCCCCCCCCACACCCCCAATCTTAATGGCATTCATATCTGATATTATTTGTGGCATCAAGTTTGTTTGAAATATACATTTTTATACTTCCATTGATGATTGAATAGTATTAAGGCACTGCATAATGATTATGCCATGATTTGATCCTTACTCATCTGAGGAAGTTTTTACTTTTATTTTGCTGCTGCTGAAGGAGTATATACAGTATAAAAAAGAAATTATAGTGATCATATTTTGATGTTGAAATAAAAACGAACCATTCACGTGAAAGTGTTCCAGCATATTTTATTGTATTGTTCTTTGCACAAGCTTATCCATAGTATGTTCTAATATGTTAATAACAAATAGATCATAGGCCATCCCTTGTTGCTATATTCATTTTCCTGGCTTTTGCCTTATCTTCTTGGTTCTATCAGTTTTTTTGGGGGGGGGAGGGGTATTGTACAGTTCCTTCCCAATGAAATCATGGAAAGTGCCAATTATGTACATGGTCTTTCCTTAGCTGGAAAGGGATAATGAGTTTGATTACAGATAAGAAACCAAGAAATAAATTTCTTTGAAATGAACAAGTACTTAATGACAGGTTCAAGGTGATAGATGTCTTTCAGTTCTTTGAATATCAACAGATATGACAGTTTTGTATACGGTTAATGCAAGTGTAAGTTTAGAAAAAACTTGCTTCAGTATGAATAACTGATTAGCACTAACTGGCATAAGCAACTAGTCTCATATATTTTCTTAGGCCTTTGGGCAGATGCTGGTATAACAATTTAAAATATATCTTGATGCTTTTTTCACATTTTAATTCATTGTTATTGTTTCACATTTCTGTTTCCCTTTGAGGAAAATAGTGCTTTAGTCAAAAGGTAAGTTTTCTTGCTCACTGTACCTGTTGATCCAGGGGCTGGACTTTTATTTCCTACTCACCTCTGTTGTGTTTGGGTGACTGACTACGTACTTGCAGCCTACCAGTTTAACTGAGCTAGTTCCTCACTACATATTTCAGCTCTGAAGATGGGGGCAGCATATTTCTCAGAAATAGTGGTATCCACCTACAAGACTACATCATGTCACATATCAGAGGAACAGTGAGCCAAAGTGTCATTGAATAAGTAATAAGCAAAGTAACTAGCATGTTATGGTCACCATTCACATCTTTAAATATTGTATACCTATGTAGCTAGGGCTTTTATTTTATGTAAATTAAATTTCCGGTGTACTATAATTGCAGTACAAGCTTTGCAAGGTAAAAAGAGTGCAGACAGGCCCCAAAGGAATTCCTTTCTTGGTGACTCATGATGGAAGAACGATCCGATACCCAGATCCAGTCATCAAGGTGAATGATACGATCCAACTTGATATTGCCACATCAAAAATAATGGATAGCATCAAGTTTGATTCTGGTGAGCAAGGCCGGAACACTTTCACTATTTATGTCATGAGGTCTTTCAATACATTAATTTATTCTTTAGTGCATCACCTCCCTCAGATTTGATTTTTTGTAGCGCTGATGAAAATAATCATATCTGTACTAATTTTAGAAGCACTGTTTTCTTTAAAATGATTTGAGGCCGTGGAGTTGATTGTGTATGTGTTAGCCTGAATCAGCTGACAGCAAGTGTTATAATTTGAAACATTGTGTAGCTCAACAGATTGTGTTGACAGAACTGTATGAAGCACAAAATCATCGTCGTTGAAATCAGAACCGTCTGAACATTTCTCCAAGGGTCTGGCAGGCTATACTATTGGCCATGTTCAGCAATTTTTAAAGAATACTTGCAGTGCGTATTAGCAGCTAAAACATTAAGTCATCCATGAGAAGAATTTTAACTGAAATTCCTGTCCAGGATTTTAAAAACTGTTTGAACAATGGACAAAGCCCTGGAAACATTGTAAAGAACTGGAGGGAGATTACTTAGAAAAGTTCTAGGTTGGTAATATCTGCAACTCTTAGAATAAAATTTTAAAAACAATTGGTCACAACTTATTTGACTGACCTTGTACAGTACTTATATGTGGTGCTTACATGCAGACTTGCAAGTAAGAACTGCACCAGCAGTATGTACTCTGATACTGTAGAGTAATGTTTGTGTTATGGGATGGGCAGTAGGATTTTAACTTTGGCGGGGGGGGGGGTTGCTGTATTAGTGTTGAAAAAATATAACACTCAGCCGACAAGTGCACACTCTGTCACAGTAGTAGTGCAACATACAGTTAGTGGAGGTTAAAAATTATCTTAGCAAGTTCAGGTAGATAGCCAGAAAGAGTTTACTGGTTAACTTACCTTCAAGCCTTTTGATGCTTTTTGCTGATCAGCCTAGAGTAGTCAGGATAGAAAAGTAATTTTTAAATGCTTTTAATTTTTATTGTTAATATTTGATGCATTTTTCCTTGAATTTTGATCTTTTGCTCCCCAAAATTTGGTGGTGAGGAGATACGTGGTTTGCCCTCTGCTGGCACCGGTGAACAGAATGCAAAGAGTTTGAGTGTTGAAACAAGTGGTACATACAGTAACAACTGTGCTTTAAAGGGGTAAGCTAGAAACTTGACTTGATAAAGTTCATTATGATGAATGTTGGGATGCCAGGGTGGTTGTGAGAGAACATTTCTGGTTCAGAAGAAAGCAGTCTTCTGGGATTTGGCACCATGTATACGAAGAGGGACCCAAAAATAACCAGAACTGACCTGTTGCGCGCGCATGGTTTGTAGTTACGAGTTGTGCTGCTAGGTGGTGTTAGCTGGGGGTCTCCCGCGACTGTTAGTGAGCTGGCGTCAGTCTGAGTTAAGTGGTTTGTCTGTGGTGCTCTGTTGTGTGCGTTCTTGTTTCAACCCTTTGGCGATTAGTGAGATGGCCGACCAGAAGGAACAAAGAGTGCGTGAAATTTTGCTTTCTGTTAGGGAAAACTGCAGCCGAGAC